TGTACACTTTTATGCTTTTAGCGAAATGAAATTCCGTAGGTCTGCTCTCTGACATAAACGATCACATTCCATGAGCATTGCATAAGGTTTTGGAAATCACTGCGAATGTACGGCCTTATCGCTAATTTTGCTTTTCATTTAGTTGACGAAAAGTAAAAATTATAGCATTGCATGTCTTCCGTTTAAATAAGGTATGTGTGGGTTTGACCTCGATTGATTAATGAGAGCTTACTTTCTCTAAAGTTCCGTTTGTTTTCCTTAACTCAGCGATTCTCTTTTCGCGAAGTTCTTTTGCCCTCTCCATGTCGGTAAGCTCTCTTTTTTTGTCATCACTTACACAAGTGATCAGTTTACTTAAAGCAATAACGGAACTTGCAGAAAAGAGGAATTCATGTCTTCTCAAAATGTGCTTTCGTGGCAAATTTCATCAAGACACGTATTTTAGATAGCAGAAAATCGTTCATAACGCAGCAAATATGTTTTGACAGTTTTACAGTCTTATGAAATGCAGAACTTGAACAGAGCTTAAGCAGCCAGATTCTCTGATCATGAGGTGTCATTTAAGCTTAATTCGCGCACAAGAGATTCTAAATTTAATCGGGTTTTGTGTTTCGAAACCATTAGAGAGACGATGGATAGGAATTCAGTTAAATAAACGATAGTGTAGTGGCCTGTTGATCTGTCGCCTCGGTTGGCAGTTCTTTTGATTGACGTGACAGTGAAGACTATCCACTGCAAGTTACGTGATGATCAGTCCTCCGTCATCTGCGAATGACTCGTTGTCAACCAATAATTGTTGAATTTTTTTTTTTTTTTACTGTCATGCAGGGATAATTATCAAACAAATAATTGGCAGATTTATTGGAAATTTCTTGTCGGAAACATGTAGCTTGACCTTCAATCAAGCTTTAACTCTGTAGATATTACGAGACTCCGGCGTTGTGTTTACGGTACATTTATCACGTTATCTGTCATGGATAAAGTTTTCGCTCGGGCGGTTTGCCTGTGCATTTTTTTACTCAATTCTTCTTTCCCCATATATGCTTGTAGAGAAGGACCTTCCACTTTCAGCCTGCACAATTTTTATTACATCTATCCTAATAGCTTGGTTTTACTCCGAGTATTTGAGAAAAGTGTAGAAATGTAAATGTAGTACGTTCTCTGAGAAATTCTCGGTTACGTCTTAGCTCATTATGGGACCCAGGATTGGTTGGACTAGGCTCAGATCAATGTGATGGAAATCAATTCACGGACATAAACATTTTTGGGCAACGACTGTCTTTATTTCAACTGTCATATTATCCTTTAAAGCGTTGCTTGCACAAAATAATTTCAATTACGATTTGTTTACGGTTAAGTCATACTATCACAATCAAATAACAACTTGTCTAGTCATACTGTATAACAGTATTTTACGATAAACATGATTTTAGAAATGACTTCAAGGTTAATCTTATTTCAGCATACTTCATTTTGAAATGATACTCCTTTGGCGGTCTAAAATTTCTAATTAACTATCGAATAGTAAAAATTCCGTTCAGGATATCATTCATACACACCCTAAAATGATAAACTATTTCTTTCGTCCTGGTTAGTTCTTTCGCTCGCATTAAGCTGAGTTACTCATTCTCTGTCTCAAAATCTTTCATGGAAGGAAGTTGGGCAGAATAACGCTTACATGCTGAAGTGTTTGTGTGCGGCGCCTAGAACTGTAAAACAGCACTTTTCAGCTTTAATAACAAAAAAACAGTCATTAAACTGAAATTCAGTTAAACACTCGTCGAGGTCTCCACGAGAAGACCTGAGAGAGTTATTATCGTAGCAAAACCTGTTGACGGATCATTTTGCTGCATTCTATTCGTTTTAGCTGGGATGCTAACAGACATCTACGGTAAAGCTTGCATTTAACTTTGTTAAAGAATGTTGACCGACATTCGCAATGATTGAACACTGAGAAGCCTCGTACTGACATAGTTAACATCAGTATCATAAGTGCCAAAAGCATCCTTCATCGCCCCCGATGAAAGAGAGCCACTTGGCATTGAACTAAAAGGAACCTCTGACAATTTATAATCAAAGTTCCCCAGGGACAGGCGTCAGGAAATGTCACCTATGCCAGATTATAATAATCCAGCAAAATCTGACGCACGGGAACCAATACGCTGATAAATATTGAACAGTGATATCGATATGATTGTGAACCGTCTTTTTCGTCGGGGTAAGTTGGGATCCGTGAGTTCGTGTCTTGTTCTGTGGGGCGTGATGTGGTTGTACATGGCAGACGTGTCGGCTTGGTTCTGTACCAACACAGTAGATCGGGCATGCACCATGGCTTTTTGGTCAGAGTGATCCAATTAGTAACAAGACAGCGTCTCTGGATCAATAGCGCTTTATACGATTACTAAAAATAGATTTTGTTACGTGATAACCTATGAGACCCCCCGCACAGACTCAGACAAACATTGCGACCAGCTTAAGTCGCGCGAGGCG